ATTATATATAATATAAATAAAGTAGATTTTTTATTACATTTTAACTGTAAAAAAAAATTCTTGACGAATAAAAAAATTTCTTCATTTAACGCGCGATTACTGAAACATTATATTGCACTACCAACCTTAAGGAAGACCCCCAGGACGGCCAGACCATCGGAAGCTTTCGCAGCTTCGCCGAAAGTCTTGTACTTGCTGGTGTTCCAGTGCACCAGATGCAGCTGAAACACAAACGGCGTCTCCTAATGAATCTAAATTACGCGTATTAAATCTAATAGCGGACAATCAACTGGGAGGAGCGAAAAGACAGGTCGACTGAATATACAACGAGTGTCTAATTGTCTCTTTAAACAATCAATTACGGAATATCATTTTCTATATTTGTTTACTGACGAAAATAGAGAATACTAATTATTATTAATGGTATCTTGTCTCGCTTGGATTATCCAGTATCCTCTTTCAGCTTTAATTATTCCATTGCCGCATTTCATCGAACGGTGGCGTATAACAAAGAACTTTGATTCGGTATCAATAAATAATAATTGCGTCCGCGGGATGCTTGTTAGAGAAATTATGTAATCGGTCCGGTAACTGGACGTTGAAATTCCACGAATATCCGATCGACCCGATTTTCCTCGTCACGAAAGATATCGTTGCGTAGAAGCTTTTTTTTCGATAATGCACACATCGTATGCGTGTGTCCGCGACAGGAAAGAGAGTATCCGTTCTAAGTACATCGAAGACGGACGTGCGCAGCGATTAAATGCGAGTTCATCGCGATCGCCAAGCGACTCGTTAATATGCTTTTAAGATTCGAGCCGTTTAATTAACGTCGAGCCTGTCTGAAAGTCGTCAGTGTTAAACCGCGCGGTCGTTCGAGGAAATACACGAATGTTCGGGATAAAAATTTTAAACGCTTCTTCATCGCTCGCGAGATTCCGTCGAATCTGTCATGTCTGATGAAGAAACTTTCCATGCATTATGCGACCGTCGATATTTTCTTGATCGCGCGCAGGGTCAATAGTTGAAGTCAACTATTTATGAAAGATTGCAAATATACCGCTGCGTAGATGATTGCATAATCGATTTATCAAGTATACAAATGAATTTTCCACGAAATACCCGAGCTAAAGCATCGCCGCGAGCTTTCAAAAAAAAAAAAAAAATAAAAATAAAAATTCTCTCGATGAAGATAAAGCCCATTCTAGGATCGCATCGGAAATGTGTCCAGGAAATACGCAATTTGTCTCGGTTAATTATCGGCATCCTTTTTCACGATCGGACGCGATTGTTCGCCTACGAGAGTTCTCTCGATGCTCGCAGGTGGACGCCGCCGGTCTCGTTATCCTATTCAGCCGCGCAAGTGGTAGTTTCAATGATAACGCCAATTATTGTTTCCACTTCGAGCGCGTTTGTTGTTTCGTTTCTTCGCACTCGTAACACGATATGCGGCTTTAAGCCCACACACAACTGCCAGAGCATAGAAAGACTTTTGACACAACGCTGGGATATTTATCAATGCGACATACGGACGATAATAACGTTCTATTTATGAGACAAATGATGTTCGCAATAATTATATTATTATATTCTCGCGCTAATACGTCCATAATTAGCGTCTTTATGCGCCGTACTTAGGATGAATAAAGTTTTTTATTCCTATCGCGGGGAAATTATCTGTTTCATCATTTATATATTTACATTACGAATCGATGTAAAATTAGATGGGTTTCGATGTATCTTCGGAAAAATGATCCCGCTAATAAATCGCACATGGCGACTCTCGGACAAGGTCTCGACACTGCCATAGCAAGCTCGCTACGAATGATCGCAAACAGTGAATCATACTCTCAACGTGGCCGGATTACAAATGAGCTACTTTGACGTACGCTATTAAGTATGCAAAATAACGCAAAAATGAGATAACGCAATTAATATTCTTCATTGTCTTAAATTTATTTCATTGACAAATAAATTTTATTATTTGTCGAGGCGGATGTCACGGCAATCTAGACACACATCGAAAGTTCCAACGCCCGTAGAAAAGAATATAATTACTCTACCTCTCCGGCGAAAGCTTGCCCGTCCACCGTGTGTTCGGATCCCCTGGAATCGCTGCATCCCCAATGACAGTGATACTGCTCCAGTTTGTAAACATCGTCCATCAGCGGTCCACCGCTCAAAACTGTCGGCGACAGAAATCGAGAGATTTCTTATAGTATCGCGCTTATAAAAAAAAAACAGATAGGAATAAAGAAGTGAAGGATTAGTATTAATTAGATCTCCGAGAAAAACGTGGAAATTTTCGCAGCACGCTTTTAGCGAAGCGCGCTCAAATAAAATTGGCCGTGCCGGGATCTCGTTTACAGATCGCTCTATTACAGGATACGCTTGATCAGCCAAACTACGTGGGTTGCACGGGGTCTATAACGAGAGAGGATCGTTGCTATCGTTGTATCACGCATTTGCGTCGGCGAATCGCGCGAATGCGACCGCGTCGCGACGCATTTTGTCGCGCCTCGACTGTGATAAATTGTTTGCGGAAAATTTACCGCGCCAAGTTTTAAACGCCACGGAATTCTCCGAGAGCGCAGTAGGAGAATCTAAAATTATTCACCATGTGCAATGGGAAAAACAATGATAATTTTAAACTTTCTAAAAATAAAAGATACGAGTTGTTTTATAATAGAAATCTCATTTTTCATCGATTATTCCTTCTTCTATCAAATGTAACAAGGTGTGACTCGGCCAAGTCGTAACTTCACTATCGGCGTTCTATCCACCGATTGTTTTCTGTCACACATATTGCCTTATAGAGCGCCGCGCCGCTTCGTGCCACATATGAATACACATAATACGCCACGGCGCACGGTCGTCCTCATTTCGAATACGCCCCGAGCACTCGGCGAAGGTAAAAGCCCTCTCTAAGTGGCACGAAGTCGACAGTGAGGAGCCTTCGTTAAAACGATATACGACAAAATAGAATATACATTCATCTGTGTATACTCACGCGCCGCATTTTACGACCGTTATTTATGCGAGCGATATATTCCCTCCTCATCGTATTTTTGGAATAAGATCAGTCTATTCGCAGAGAATGTTGCAAGGCTATTTTATCTACATTGAAAATGCAAGATCCGACTTGTAAAATTATAAGAGACAAAAGAACTCGGAGATGACCGCTGTTGTGAATGATGAGTTGTCGCAACTTGTCGCGTGCGGTTGATTTGTATCCGCGTGCGATGACATATGTCATTCTCCGCGAATAGCGATCTACGTAGACGGGCCTTTAGTTCATCTTTGTCGCGTGCGGTTGATTTGCGGCTGCGTGTATGTACCTCGCGTGTGATGATACGTCGATTCTGCGTCTGCATCTGCGTTTTTTACAAATAGTGACGGAATGCAAACGGACCTTGATATGCCGCGACAAAACGCGAATCATAGTTTTCTCTTACGTAAAAGGCTCATGCGCACGATGAACGAAATTAACAAAAAGCATTTCCTTACGTAAGCCGTTTATGTCGAGAGAAAGAAAACACGTTTCTCATACAGGTTGCTCCGTCTTAACTATGACTAACATAAGTAAACCACGTTCGCGACATCGCTGCCAGCGTGTTAATGTTTATAAACGGGAAGCTTAAGATGGAACGCGAGGCCGGTTCATATCGTAAACAATCATCTAAAATTATACTGAATCACCATTTCCGGATGGACGTGTGGCTACACTAATTTCGCAACACGCATTTTCATCCACGCATTTGATCCACGCAATTCAGAGTTTCGATCGCGATTAAATATATTATTATAAATAACATCTGGAGCGAAAAAGTGCCGTGATAAATTTATTTGCATAAAGGAGGAAGGGGAGTGTGTCTAAAAAAATAAAGAAGGAAAAAAGGAAAAAGGATATTTAACATTATATGCTCACATGTGCCTTCGCCCGCGGCATCCACCCGCCAACAATAACCGGGATTAACCAGTTTCCGAGAAGCTGTGGCCGGATACTTCCAGCGCAGCGGCTTGCTGCTTAGAGCCTCGTGATCGGATTCTGCCCGTTTCGTCTCAATGTTCACCGGGCTTTGCCTAGAGCCGGCAGCCATAGGAAATTTCGTCACCCACGTGCTGGGTCCTGCGACAGAGAAGAGAAATATCGAGTTGGCGCTAATCCATTACGTAAACGACAGATGAATACGACAGATGTGTCGGGATCGAAAATAATTTCGGTGAATCTAAGATATGATGATAATAATCAGCGGTTGATTGATTATTCGTTTTTTCTTCTGTTTGATCTATAAATACAAATTTCTCTCTCACTGAGAATGAAACACATGTGCCAGCGCATTCGCGACAACAAAATAATATTGCAGAATAATTTTACGATACGACGAGTTCTTGCTTAAATAAATTGTAAAGGCTCGCATGCCAAGTTAGCGAGCGCGAAACAAACTCTTTTTCACGATGTATTGTCACGTGATGGTAACTGATTGAAATTTGCTTTTATCAAAATCCCGATCTTTATTTATCACTTTCGATCTCCGTAAAGTTTTGTTCTCTATTTAACCCATACGAAAATGCGAGAATAATATTTCCAGAGGCAATAATATTTCCTGGTTTTACGACGTATTGACGAAACGATAAACGACTTACAATTAGAGATGACCTATAAAAGCTATGAAAACGAACGATTATATAATTTATCGAACTTACATAATTTATTATGTCTTCAACACGAATGTTATGTGCGCCAATTAAAATAACAATTCAGGACAAACACACACGTCTGCGAATATCAATTTCGATAACAGACGGGAAAGA